TCCTCCACTGTCTGCAAGGAAGCTACAGCACAAAACACGTATTCTTTTTACTTCCAAACAGAGCGCTGAATCCACTGTGCTACGTCAAAACGAATCCTTAATCACCGGAATATCCACTTCTGAACATTCTAGAATGAGTACAGCAAAAGTTGCCACTTTCGTGAGCAAAGGGTTGACGGATATCATAATTTTCCGGACACTGCAGCACGTAGTAGCGTAGTTGGTTGAGGCACTATGCTAAAAGCCGAAAGGTCGCGGGTTCGAATCCCGATGAGGTGATTAGATTTTTTAAATTGACATAATCCTTCAAGCCGCACCATGGCCCTGCGGTCGATTCAGGCACTAACAGAAATGAGTACCAGGAATCTTCCTGGGGGTAAAATGTGACCGGCGCGTAAAACTGACAGCCTCACCGACATCTGTGAGCTGACTGTCTAGAGAAAATGTGGCAGCCCCGACGTCTCACAACCCTATGGGCCTCCACAGCCTGTTACACGGATAGTTTTTCTTTTTCTTTACGTCTGATGTGTATTTAATGCACCTAGAAAAGTCACGGAGAGGTCTAACAATTCAATGTGTCACCTGTTTTCCCAGCTGCATGTACTGTTCCCTTTTCATCATTACTAATGAAACACCAAAAAGGTACCAGCATTTCATTCTTTTTCAATCATCATATTCACAGGACCGGCAATTTCAGGTTAGTCCAGCTTTCCGGAACATTCAATGGCGCACACAGACGCTTCTGCTGCAAGAAATACTAACGTGTGTTCGCTATCCAGTTAAGTGCCACAGAGGCTAAATGAGTCTGACGATGTTGTATAACGCTCAGGCCGTCCTGTATTCTAAACAACATAAAAAGAACTCGGTTTCAGAAACTGGGTGTTTCCGTCCTCAAGTAAGGGGGTGGGAGACACTTACTCTGTTGGGACCGCTACAAACAGCTGACCTCAATCACAGATCCAGTTTCCGTAAACGTTGTGTTCTTTTGTGTTCTTCAGAATACCGGGCCCAATATATTTATTTTATAATATTTCAAATTAGTTTCAATTAATGGGTTCTTACGGCAGTGGATATGAAAATTACGGTATTCTGGGTCATGACGCTGTGTAGTTTCGTCGATAAATTTCTCCGAAACGTCCGTACCAATCTAGGAAACTTGGGTAGCTATCTATACAAACGTCGGTACCTATCTAGCAAATGTTGGTTCCCATCTAGCAAACGTCGGTACCTAATCTAGCAAACGTCTGTACCTATCTAGCAAATGTTGGTACCTATCTAGCAAACGTCGGTACCAATCTAGTAAACGTCGGTACATACCTAGCAAACGTCTGGCCCTATCTAGCAAACGTCGGTACCTATCTAGCAAATGTTGGTTCCCATCTAGCAAACGTCGGTACCTAATCTAGCAAACGTCTGTACCTATCTAGCAAATGTTGGTACCCATCTAACAAACGTCTCCCCTATCTAGCAAATGTTGGTACCTATCTAGCAAACGTCGGTACCAATCTAGTAAACGTCGGTACATACCTAGAAAACGTCTCCACCTATCTAGCAAACGTTGGTACCAATGTAGCAAATGTTGGTTCCTATCTAGCAAACCTCTGCACATATCTAGCAAATGTTGGTATCTATCTAGCAAACGTCGGTACCCATTTAGCAAATGTTGGTGCCTATCTAGTAAACGTCGGTACATACCTAGCAAACGTCTGGCCCTATCTAGCAGACGTCGGTACCAATCTAGTAAACGTCGGTACATACATATCAAACGTCTGCACCTATCTAGCAAATGTTGGTACCTATCTAGCAGCAAACGTCGGTACCAATCTAGCAAATGTTGGTGCCTATCTAGTAAACGTCGGTACCTACCTAGCAAACGTCTGCACCTATCTAGAAAATGTTGGTACCTGTCTAGCAAATGTTGCTACCTATCTAGCAAACGTCGGTACCTATCTAGGAAACGTCAGTAGCTATCTAGCAAATGTCTGTACCTATTTAGCAAATGTCGGTACCTATCTAGCAAACGTCGGTAGCTATCTAGCAAATGTTGGTACCTATCTAGCAAACTACACTCTATCACATTCCTGTACACCGTAATCTTCGTACTTCTAAGAGAAGTCTGTTGAGATAATTATGGTAAAACACGAAGCAGCTACGCTGATATAATTATGTCAGCAACTGCATTCAGAATGTATGAATCCTGCCTGCCTTTAGGTTGGAGCTGTGATGGAGACGCGCGTATATAAGGGCACATCCTACCTACAAAATTACACGACGTCACGTCTGAAAAGACAGAGCAATCTTAATATTCATTGCTGCGAGAACATCAAATTTAAGGCGGCAATAAATGTTAAGGTTTCATTAAAGCAGTAAATTTCTAGACCAGCCACGCAGATGTTAAACTATCGGCCTCTTCAAGAGGTTACAACGAAGAGACTAAAACAAATAGTTTAGTATGTGGAAGGCAGAGTATCACACGCAACACAAATCTCACTTTAGGCGCACCGATTACTTTGGCTCAAGCGGTAAAGATTCTGATTTGTAATCGAAAGGCGATGGGTTTGAATCTCTGCTTGGATATCGATAATATTAATTCACATTTTTCCTAGATTTACACAGCCATTCAGAAAATGTTGGCATATGAATTTACATTAGGCCAACATCACTGTTTTCTACACTCTTTTGCGTGTATTGCTCGTAATCTCTGACAGCTCTATCATTTGGTGCCATACTTACTGATAATAATATATAAAAGCAAAGCTGTCCTTGTAACAGGCCCCGGAGGCCCGTAGGGTTGTAAGACGTCGAGGCTCCCGCATTTTCTACACAATTAGCTCAAAGATGGTGGTAAGGTTGTCAGTCTTAAACTCCGGCCGGCCGCCCTTCAGACCCCAGGAAGATCCCTGGTACTCATTTCTGTTAGAGGCTGAGTCGACCCCAGGGCCATAGTGCGGCTGGAAGGATTAGGTCAATTGAAAAGAAAATCCAATGACCTCATCGAGAAACTAACTCGCGATCTTCCAGCTTGTAGCGTAGTGCCTCAACCAACTACGCTAACGTCTGCCCCTTTACACACTGACAGTGTCGGAAGCGAACCACTCGTCTCCAACTAGTGACGAGCTCAAGCATACGTCGATCTATACACCCATTCCACCATACGCCTTCATGGCGTCGTGCTGTATTCGTTAAGCACATGGACGCCTTTAACTTATTTATATACTGAGAGTGTCGTCAAATAAGGTAAAGACAAAGTGGTCCCTTTGCTAAACGAATACTATACAATATTACGCCATGAAGGCGTATGGAGGAGTGGATATACAGATCCACGTATTCTTTACCTCGGCATTAGTTGGCGGTGAGTGGTCAGCTTCACGTCCCGGTCGTTCTACACCCGGTATCCATTGTCTAGGAGGCTGGGTGGATCACAGAAAAGGCCTGGCCGACGTGAAAAGGAGAAAAATCTTGCCCCTCCGGGGACTACAACTCCGACCTCTCGCCCGTCCAGCCCGTTGCCAGTCGCTATACCGGTTCACGTGTCGTTAAATAAGCAGTATAAAAAGTGGCTACGCGTTCACCCAGCTCCACATGCAATATTCATTTGATAACTCCATAGAGCCCTGCATAAAGTTGGCTGGGCGCGGAGCGCGTTCAGCCAGACATTACGACAAACGTTAATCTTTCATCTAGAAATTTCTGTGTAACTGTGTACCAAATCGTAACGACGCAACTGACATTACGAGAGGCAGCCATTACAGAGTCGCCGCTTAGGAACGGGTCTGTACGTCACAGTACTTCGAACTTCGTCGAGTGAAAGAATTCCCACGTATGGAACCCCTCCCCCCCCTTCCAAATCTCCCTTCAGTAGCTAATGTTCACCAATCCCTCGGCTTATTTCTCTCCAGTGATCTAGCCATGTTAACAAGGGATATAGCAGGGTAACCCTCAAAATCTAAGTCAAAGTAATATTATGACCGATGGTCAGTCGGGCAGTATATCTCGGTGTGAAGCCCCATCTGGGGATCCAAGATCAGATTTTTGTTACTGTCAGACACGTGCAGGTTTCTGATGTGGGGCGCCCTCTCTGACGGGAGTATTGGGCTGTCGTTTACAATTGCATCTGGTCCTTGCCAGCTTAGTCATTCTCGGGTTCGAGTACCGCGGGACTTATGACCATATTTTGCTGTCTCAAATTCGAGACTCACCCAACCTGAAGGGTTAAGTCCCCGTATTTACATCCCCTACGAACAGGGTGGCCAAGTTATAACCCGAGGCACTGGGTTCCCTTTTCGTCGCGTCCTACGACTCGCAGGGCTAGGTCAAGGTATTCGACCCCCATTTCTTCTAAATAATATATATTCAGTTCGTACCTCACAGAAAACATATTACGTCACAACTACAAAGATCAGCCGATGAATGTAGTTTAGGGAAACAGTCACTGTTTATTGTGAGAACCATACGAAACATATAAATACACTGTGTGGGCAGAATGTAGAATTTAATATGTTAAAGCAGTTGGTACGTAAAATAACCACTAGACTTTAAACGGTGAAGATTGGCCATGTCAGAAGTTAGGACATAAGGAACAGCAGAAAATGGAGATACAGGAAGATATAAATAAAATAACGAATCACCACATGTATAACACAGCACTGGAAAGAGAAATCCGAAGACATTCGGTACTATTCGTGCTGCTGGCACAAGAAGAAGGCATTATGCTGTAAGATGAACAGTTTATAGTTTTTGTTCGACATTTTATACATTATGAAGACATAAAACGCTCGCAGATGCTCGGCACAAAGCAGAGACTTAACGCAATTTTACAGCACCACCAGGAAAAAAAAAATATGGTTCACATTAGAAACCCCTCGATATACCGAGCATCTAAAAGTATTATTGAATACATATTTCTTCGTTTCGACAGTAGGAACCATATTGAATTTCAGGAGATCAGATTTATCTTGGCTGGTGTCAGGAGGTATGCCTGGAAGATATGGGTGACTTACCGCAAGGCTGTCGTCCAGTTTCCGCTGCCATTGGTCCGACCGGTCGATGAGGGCGTTCCACTTCTCAGACAGTTTGTTCACTTCCCTGCGGATACTTCGGGTCAGTTCGCGGGCCTGCTCCTCGGCGCTACGGTACCCGCGAGAATCCCCTTCCAACTCTCGGCCCGCTGAAACCACACCCACAAAACAGCAATGAAATATCTAACAAATCGAAAAGGGGTCTGGATGCAGTTGATAGCTACTGAATGGTCGATTGATGAAACGCAGTTCGATTTCCGGAACGGGAAAGACAGTTCTCTTCTACATGGCGCCCAGACCGGCTCCGGGGCCCAGTCTCCGATTCAATGGGTACTGGGGACTCGTTCCACGGAGTTTAGGCGGTAGGAGCGTTAAGCTCGTGAAATTCCATCTGGTGCCGAGGTTAAGCATGCCTGAAGCTATACTTTACCATCTCATACGTCTTCATGGGGTGGTGCTTAATTAACCGCAAGGATATCATCTACAGTCCATTCGCGGAGACGATACAGTTAGCGTAAACAAAGCAAGCCACGCGTCGCCACAGCTGATAGCAAGGAGTGGACAAAGCGCGCAGTTATTTCATTGTACTCACTGCATTCGGACGCACGTTAACCTATATTCAGACTGAAGAGTGAAATTTGGACGCCCCTGCAATGGGACACGCATCACGTGATCGCTGCATGATTTCATTCAAAGAGCGAAGGAGATACCGCGAGGATTTGTTTACGAGGACTCTCTCGTCTCCGCGAATGGACTGTACCTACCTACCGACCTACCCACCTATCTATGGATCTACAGTCCTCTTGTTGGACCCTGGCCGCTATCTAACCGCAGGACAACACAAACACAGAATAAACGCATACAGGTATCCATGCCTTGAGTGGGATACGAACTCACATCCCAGTGTTCGAGCGGGTGAAGACAGTTCATGCCTCAGACCGCGCCGCCACTGAGCTCGGCGGACATCATTGTCACGTAAACAAATACTAACCGATAAACACAGATTTAAAGCACTGAAGATGGCGACAAATGTGACTCAGTGCGGACCAGTCGTATCATGCAACGGAACATCGACAGAATAAACGCACAAGACAGTAGACTCGGAGCGCTGATACATCCTGAAACGTTGGATGTCTGGGCTACGATATCGGATGTCGACTTCGAGGTATCAGCGTTCTAATGTCAACTCCGGTTTATCGTATAGCTTGGTAAGACAGATACCAACGTTCTAGAATAATCTACCTACCAAACTAGACGGCATCACATCCACAGAAGACAATAATATTGTTATCGCCGTAAGAACCTCGTATCTCACATGATACAAATTGATATCCGCATACTGAATCCAGGGCAAATGTAGGTGAACGGACGTTCAAATCATTAAAACAGTTCTGATGACGAAATTCTGTCCATTCGAAAGTCTACAAGCGTGCCTAATGCAAGACGCCTTAAGCATAAGGTATATCGAATCTAAAACATCTTCTGGACTGCGTCATCATCAGAGTGACGTAGATCGTTGCGTCATCAGAACGTTACTAACCTTTTTGAATTACACTTTCATATTCCGTGGGCAGTTTTATTTTATTTTCGGTTTGAAAATTATAGGTCACGGAACCCCGGACAAAAACTTAGAATCACCCTGTACGATGGGAAGGAAATCATATTCGAGATATCGCTGAACACACAGGGCTCCTCTTCCGCCAGGGTGCCTAACTTAAAACATGTTCTGTACAGACACAGAACGGCACTATTTTGTGCACAGTGAATAATATAGAGAATCCATTTACTTGACCCATATTAAATAATCTGCAGAACACCCGCTCTCTTGCTCGGACTAACTTTTCTGCGATCCTCAATATATCTTCTGCGGTCCCCAGAACTTGAAAATAATAGGCAAGCCATCAGTGAAAGCAGTCGATTGCAACTAGTTCATTACTGCAAGTGACTGAGGCAGGGAACTGGGACGGCAAGCGCCTGCACGTAATAGAGCAGGCTATTCTGCACAACACGAGAGTCTGATAAGTTGTATAACTTCAAGGGTGTATAAAATGTAAAACTGAAATACGTGGGACCAGTCTTTTTATATTAAGGGTGTTTTAACATAGTTTAGGTGGAGAATTTATTATTTCGTTAGAAACTTAGTGGTTATTAAATGAAGGAACAGTGACCCAAGAACGCTCTTCGGAATTCGATAGAATGCAGACAGCGTTAGAAAATAACTCTCCTGTACGGACTTTCGGTAATTAAATGCAACAGTACAAACAAAACGGGCTTTTCAGAGCTTGGTTTCAGTGCACAAACATGCATCAAGCGATTTGGAGGAATGGACTTTGAAACATTTCTGAGTGGAAAAAAATGTTACTACACAAATAAGACTGTTGGGACAGGTCTGTGCACATTTTTTCAACAAATGATTTGTTTATTTATTGAAATAAAAGTTGCGAATTAATGTTTTCGAGTGCCTCAACTAACTACGCTACGGCGTACAACCCCTCGTGAATGTAAAAAGTGATTCTGAATTACTGTCGGGGTTTCCGTCGCCTATAATTTTCAAACCGGAAACGTGCCACAAAAGCCACTCAGGTTGAAGTTGTTTAGCATTCTGCAGAAATGATTCTAAGGGTAGTAAATTTTTTTGAGTTACACTTTCGTATTCCGAACGCAGTTCTCTTTTGCGTTTTCCGGTTTGAAAATTATAGGTCACGGAAACCCCGGATATAATTTAGAATCACCCTGTATTTCTTGCGTATACCTTGATTGGAACAATACATTCCTAAAACGCCTTACTTATGGTAGAAGCGTGTAAAATAAATAAGTCTTTGTACTGACTTTGATCTATGAATTGGATATTGTAAGAATTACACGAAACACATGAATTGCACTGCATTAAGAGTTTCTGAATGTTGAAACAGGTTGGTACATAATGTATATAATTATCAACGCGCTCTATAGGGTCAAGTGTTTGCCTTCCGAATTAATTCTAAATTTAACTGGAGCGGAAAGACAATGGACTGTTGCCTCCAGCAGTTTTCCGGGAAAATTATAGACTTCGTCGGGTCTTCTAGACGAATTATCACAGACGCTGGCTTCAGTCTGGTGGCAGACTGACGCGGATGTCCCCTGCCCACTCGTTCCGCGTGTCACGCTGGGAGGAAAGGAAGGGATTTGTCCAGAGGACGGCTGCGAACCGGGTATCCAAATCCTGTATCCGACAGCCAGAGATTCAGCAAGTGTCCATCTCCTGCCAGTCCAACCGGCTAAGTACAATTTCTCCTTTCCCTTGACCTATAACAGGCCTATCGACCCTGCACCAGATGGCATAAAATAACTACTATTTAAAGGTGCCTTTTGGCCGGTCACGGTAGCCGAGCGGTCTAAGGCATGTACTGTCTTCGCTCGCTTCGAAACTGGGATCGTAGGTTTGAGTCCCACTCAGGACATGGATGTTTAGTTTGTGCGTGTGCGTTTTTCTGCGTTTGTGTACAGGTAGAGGCCTTGCGACGAGCTGATCACCCGTCCACGGAGTCCTACCGAATGTGTAAGATCTAGGAAAAACCGAAGTGAACGGAGAAGTTCATAGAGGTAGGCCTAGGCCCACTGGGGCTGTAGTGCCAAGGAAAAAAAAGGCGCTTTTAGTTGCTCATTTAACGATGCTGTCAGTATAAACAGTATATAGGATAGGATGATTAATGAATATGGAGCAGTTAGTAGAATGAGAAATGGCAGGGGAAACTGAAGTAGTTGGAGAAATCTCGAGTGTCATTTTGTACACCACAAATCCCAATGACCTGGGATCGAAACAGGACCGTATCAGTGGAAATCTGGCGACTTCCAAAGGCACTGTTAACAACTGTTGTTCTATCATACGAACACTGACACCGAACATTGTCTGAGGTATATTTGTATACATGACGTTCCAAGAACTTCAGTTATTCTAGAATTTGGGCAAGTATTTTCATTCTGTAGTAACATAATTTCTTGTTCCTTATTTGAGTGTCTTAAGGGCAGAAAGTAGGCTTATGAGATCACAGTAATGTGTGTGTGTGTGTGTCCTGATACGATGACTGATAATATAACTTGGAAATATGCAATTTTCTTCTCCTTCTTCTTACATTCAAGTATTCGGCATTTACCTTCTTCACCCGCATTTAACACCACGTCTCTTCTTTTGCCATTTAAGACCCTTCTCACCGCATATTGTGGCAGTCATAACACGGGTTCCGCCTGCTCTTTGACATGTAACTTCCACTTCATTTTTTTACTCCATAAGAAAGGTTCCAATTCTGTCCTTACACCTTTACAACTGTCCTTGAAGCAATTCTCGGTTGAATGTAAAGTAATGTCTCGTAGTATGTGCGTGATTATAGACGGAGTTTTGGATTCGATATTGGATTTTACTACTTATACATAAGTCTCAGAAGTACGAACAATTACAGCGCCATCGCTATCTCCACAATTCACAAATCACCATAGCACTCACTACGCCTTTTCCAGCCTGCTGTCTTCGTCAACCGTTCACTGGCAACGGCTTCTAACAATGGAGGTTCTTCAGCTTCATGCGCTCAAGTCCTCTCTGAGCAGCGGCTCCCTCCCAGCTGCCTCTCTTCTTCATACACTGCAGTACAGAACTGATTCGGTTGCCCCGATTGTCTTCCTTATAATCCCTTTGCACGGACTGAGTAGAAAACATCGTTTCCAACAACATTCTATTGTTGCATGCGTATCCGTTTCCGCGGGAATGTGGTTACCGAGAACGAATGTTGTTTCAGAGCCGTTCACGAACAGACCACGAACGACCCAAGAGCTGAAACTCTCCATTCGTCAAGAAATTGCAGCTGTGTTGGCGAATGCGATGCAGAATCTTGAGGAGAGGCTCCAAATGTGTGTCCAGCGAGAAGGACGTCATCTGACTGACATTTTCCGTACGTAATGTAAGTTAAAATGCATTAAAATGCCTTCTATTTTGTGTAATTAAAAAAGGGTTTATCTTGAAAATCAACAAAGTTATTCTGATGTGAAAAACATGCTTTTCCCCCGCTCCACCCTGTATAACGACAGAATCACACGATTTATATTGCAATGCTGATGCACCAAACGACAACGCTCTGCTACAAAGTTACGTCCAACTTATACCGGGACTAAAGCCCTCCACTGGCCGTGACATATCTCAAATGGTTATTCGCCGGCTTCACACCGCGATGGCCTGCGTTCGATCCAAGGTCAGGTCATGTGGGATTTGTGGTGGACAATGTGGCACTAGGGCAGGTTTTCTTCGAGTACTTCGGTTTCCTCTGACAACCCCATGCCACCAACTGCTCCACAGTCATCATCATCTATCATCCGGGAATGGTACAATAGGCCAAATACTGGCCGACGTACCAAGTGGACTCTGTCCTATGTGAAGACATGACAGTGCCGTGAGGCAGGGAAAGTAAGGACGTGGGTTGCTATACGTAAAGATCTGCAGCATCATTGCTCCCAGCCGCCAGGAGCTAGACTATACAGCTCCAAATGGAGGATCACAGATGAACTGGAAAGTAGTCGTAATCTAATAGAGATAAGACCACCCGCATTTGCCTGGAGGAACTATGGGAAGCCACAAAAACCTCTCAGGATAGCCCAGTGTCAGCGTCAAGATTAGATCCCAGTACCTACCGAACACAGCATCACCGTATATTGGTCAGCTTGCACCAAGGGGTGAAAAGAACACTGCGGAAAACGGGGGGGGGGGGNTGGATTCCCCTGTAATTAAACGTAGTGCAGTCGGCGCAAGATGGAGCCTTCCCGTGAGAACGGGAACGCTATGATTTACTGCTCAGAGCGATCTACATTCTGGAATACGGCAGCTCAACACTGCACATCTGGCCCGCCAGCCTGATACACATATCGGCGTGATGGATTGGAGACATTCTGCGCGGATCACGAAACTTAAGGGCTGACAAGTCATTTCTTACGAAGGAAAGAAACATATTTACGCTATTTTCTTAGATGTGTGTGTGTGTGTGTGTGGAAGGGGGGATAGTTTATGCGGTAAGATGTCGCCTTCTCACCCTCGACACTCGAGTACAGTCCTGGCTCAATTCATATGAAATTCGTGTTTCTTTCGACGACACTACAGCAGGTGTTTCTCGAAGTTTCCTCGGTTTTCCCCTGCAAATAATCATTCCACCATGGCGTAATACAAATCTGCCATTCGGCTTGAAGCGTGAGGTAGCCATGACCAAAGTAAAGGTATAGTTGTCCCTGTTCTTAATTAATTACAATGCCATGAAGAAGTATTGGGGGAGTGGAGGTATATCCACCAGTTTTTACCTCTGAAATATATGGAAATGATCAGCTTTACGCCCCGGCCGCATTACAACCGGCACCCATTAAATAGGAGGCTTGATGGGCCCTAGACCCGGTGTGGACGCTGTGCAGAAAATAAATCTTTTTCCCCTGTCATTTAGCACGTGGCCTGTCGCTGTAACGCCTATATTCTGGGAGTAGCATTAATCTAGTCAATTTCGTTGCATACCTAGTTTCAGTTACTGCCATCATAAAAATGTATACCAGAGTTATCTTCAATAGTCATCCACACATGGCTTCATGATGCAGAAGGCATGGTTTGCCACGAAAATCAGGTAGGTTTCATTCATTTATTCATTCATCGATGACTTTATAGTCTTTTGTTGGGCCCTGGCCGGTTTTCCACTTTCGTAGTCCTATACATAGTTGATAGGAGACCTTATACGGGAGATCAGCCCGTCGCAAGGCCTTCACCTACACACAGAACAACACAGACAGATACACACACCTCCAGCAGGATTCGAACCCCCGATCCCAGTGTCCGAGCGAAGACAGTTCATGCCTTAGGCAGGCTTACAAAGGCCAACGCTGCAGATGGTCTCGCAAACCCGACTACGCACACAGGTGTAAAGCTGTACAGCCTACCTTCACTGTCACTAGTGTCCGACAGGGGCGGCTCGTTCGCGATGTACTGCCTTCCGCTCAGCAGGTTGTTCTCCACGACCGGTCGCTTGTCCTCCAGCTGCCGCCGAAACGCGCGGTGGTCGTCCTGAAACAAATGAATGACAAGTAGGGACCTTGAACACTGGCGTCCTCGGATTGTATCTCTGTGCTACCTTGGCTAGGTACCTTCCATCAATGGGTACGTCTAGAAGAGTTCTAGATGTATACTCGACAAACTTTTTTTTTCAATGGCTCTTCCAGCCCATTCTGGGCCCAGACCTCTTATTCAGTTCCGTAATCTTTTTTTCACAGACGGTAGGACTTCGAAAGGCCTATACCTATACACAGGACAACAAACTCACAGACACACTAAACATCCATGCTCTAAGTGGGATTCGAACCCATGATCCCAGCGTCCGACCGAGCGAAGACAGCCTTAGACCGCGCGTCTAGTATGACAGCCTTTACTCGACAAATACATCCTTAAAATAGGTAGAAAATTTGTAAGTTTTGAGGTTTTCACGGCGATGACTATGAAGAAAGTCGTCTTCTGGGTTTAGGCGCCAAAACGAAGAATACACGGCGCCTAAACCCAGAAGACGACTTTCTTCAGGTAGAAAATTTGGCTGGGATATAACGTATCTTTGCAGAGTCTACCCAACTCCAGAGTTATATACCCCTACAGGCATCGGAAACACCACCAGACCGCAATATGATAAAGAGAAGTGTATGAGGTGTACCCCCCATAACATTCAAACCACACCCGGGACAGACAGACAGACAGCCCATACGCGCGAACACATGCATAAAAACGAATGTCTGGAAACACGATCAGAGTGCAGATTCCGTACAGAAACATTTCAACAGCAGTAAAATGGCGGTTTAAGCATTTTATTGGATTTCATACAGGTTGTACCTCCTGTGAGAAACGAGGAAGCGAATTCCCCCCCCCCCAAAAAAAACAGGAAAAAAAAACGCCANAAAAAAACAGGAGATAAAAAAGTCAACATAAAAGTACTTCCATTCGAACAAACACAGCAGCTAACGAAACTGGTTAATATTCGTCAGATCAGAATTCAATGGATCCGAATTCGTTTGACGAGTTAGAGACATACTAAGCGCTGAATCGTATCGACCCACATTCACATAAATGTACAGGGAAGTATAAAGTTCAGATATTCAATAAAACTTCAACTCCCCCCCCCCTCCCCGCATACACGCATCCGTGTAATGTAAAAACATGATTTGTAAGCGTGAGATGACAGTTCTAAAATTGCGTGATTTCGGGTTACCATAGCAACGAACTGTTGAGCATTAACACCTTGCACGAACGTAAGTTATGTTGCAGTTATTTATTTCAGAGTATCGTGTACATCATGTGACTACTGATAATACGCCTCCCATCAACGATTCCCGTACAGGACTAAAATGAACCAATCAAAGTCAAAGATACTTTACGAATGGAGGATCAGTTCGTCTTGGCGTCAAGCTCCTTGAGACCCACGACCAGATTTATTTTTTACAACTGAACCCGTCCAGTAATAGTCATTACGTAACCTCCTCTTTGACGAGAAGATGGGTTTGTCTCTTATGAATACGCTTCGCCTTTGTCAAGTGTACGTATCGCACATATAGGGGGTTATTGAAAATTCTTCCTTATGCGCTATACACAAGTCATCTGTCAGCACAGCTTTGCAGAGCAGATCATGCCTATGTTACGTATCTCATGCTACAACGGGAGCTTAGTCACTTTTAACGGTTGCAAGCTTTACCGCCGCCAAGTTGACGCCTTTTATATTTCCAACTGAACAAAGTTCCAAAGCTCCCAGTTATAACATATCGGCACGGACTCACAAGGAACAGTTCTACTGCAGCTGTTCACAGAATCTTTGCTTAGGAACGGGTATATATGACGCAATACGGTTTCGAACATAACACACGTATAGGCGATCATATATTCAAATAGTACAGTGTCGTAAAGCATTATAAACTGGCATACAAATGTCATAAAACAATGTTTTATGGTAAGAAATGTTTCGATCGGTGTCTTTAAATACTTGAACAGGTAGTAATTAGATTCGTTGGTGCAGCCTCTCTGCTATAAGACCTAGGTATCGTTAACTATATTGCGGATCGTATATGAAATTCATGAGAGCGAAACTAATTCAATTCCAGCAGCCAGCAACATTAATCGAAAGGTCTGATCTGTAGAAAGATACAGAAAAAACTGAAGACACGGAATGAAGAGATAATGGATTCAGTTAACTGATGGAGACACTGCAGGGGCTGACATTTCCCACGATAGAAATGAAATCAGAAGTAAGGGAAATGATGCCTTTTCCGCGATGCAAGATCTTCCAATGGATCAAGAGACGATACAATCAACAAAGTTTTGTGTTCTAGTCTTCACAGAAGAAACAAAGAAATGTTTTATATCTGAACCAAAACGGAAAGGAAAATACATACAGTTCATAAGAAAAGTAACAGGAAATTGTTATTATTATGGTTCTAGAGCACTTTGTTGGGCCTTCGCCGCTTTTTCAGTTTCTTATAAGGGCCGTTTTTTGTTCCATTTCTTCCCACTAGCACTGGTTACTTTCTTTACACCCCCTTCTCTTTGGGTTTGAAGACCCACCTTCTTGTAACACGTCTACATAACGAAGACTACACATTTCAACCCCAAAGACGCGGGAGTGTTACGCCGAAACGTCGTTACCTGATCACCAAACTACATGGTGTTACACTACAGAAGACTGCAGTCTTAACTGTAAACCTGCAGATTTCAAACGAAACAGCGCATGCAGTCACAAGGGAAGGACACAATATACACAAGAATACAGGAAGAGTACTCCCATAGGGGAGGACTGACGTAACTCGCGAATTTGAAGTGCGACGTATAGATAATAAATCTTGAAAAGTTTTAATATATAAAGTTTATTATTATACATGACACATATACATTTTAATAATTTTATAAAGGAGGCATGATGGCATACAGTGCAATGGTTTGACGTAAATAAAACCACACCTGATGATGGCACATTAGTGCCGAAACATGTAGTGAAGAGTAAAGTGAAACTGTGTGCACTATAAGACGGTTGGTACAAATACACATCATGAAACAAAAAGAGGTAAAGATGTCCCTGTGCTTAACTAATTAAGCACTATGCCATGAAGACGTATGGGGGGAGTGGATGTATAGATCCACATTTTCTTGATCTCGGCACTAGTTGGAGGTGACTGGTCAGCTTCACGCCCCGGTCGCTCTACCCCGGAGAAAGAGACCCCGGTACCAATTAGATAGGAGGCTCGGTGGGCCCCAGAGCCGGTCTGAATGACGTGGATAAAAATTTCGACCACGCTGGGACCTGGTCGTCCAGCCCGTTGACATTCGCTATACCGACTGAGCTACCCCGGTTTGTGTTTCTGTCGAAAGACGTTAGAAAAGACCCGGCAGAAGACAAGCATGCAGAGCGTCTGGAGCTGTGAGACAGGTCTGTGTGTGTCTGTGTGCAGGAGGGAAGGAAGGAAGACACACAAAGCAACTGAACGAGATAAAGAACTATGCATCGAGCAAAAAGAAAGTGATTAAGTGTGTGAGCGAGACAGAAAAATTGGAAAAGGAAAGAATAATTTCACGAGTGTTAACTGGCGCTTCGGGGAGAGGAAATCCGCGCGCCGCTCGAGTCTGGACAATGTCGAAACATCGAGCGGTGCAGCGGTGGACTATTCATTCAGTCATAGATCACCAAAACTGGTTGAACCTCTGTCAGTCTGCCTTCCCGCCACTGCCGAAGTTTCCCCTGAAGTTACACGTTTTCCTCTTTCAGACGTCTAACTCAACGATCTAAATATACTGAACTTCATCTCACTGTTCTAAATTTAATTTTCTTTTTTAAAAGGATGAGAAGTTTTGGTATTTTTTTACGTCTGAAGCATGAAATAGCATTAAACTCGAGATGTAATATTTAAAAAAAAGAGAAGCTATCCCTGCAACAGGCTGTGGAGGCCCATAGGGTTGTGAGACGTCGAGGCTCCCACATTTTCTAGACAATCGCATCACAGATGGCGGTAAGGTTCTCAGCCTTACGTGCTGGCCGCCCTTTACCCCCAGGAAGATTCCTGTCACTCATTTCTGTTAGAGGCTGAGTTGACCCCAGGGCCATAGTGCGGCTGGGAGGATTAGGTCAATTGAAAAATCCAATGATATTATCGGGAATCGAAACCGCGACCTTCCGACATGTAGCATAGTGCCTCAACCGACTACACTATACTACATAAGCGGGGTAACTACACCCAAGATGTTTTAGTCGCTTTTCGAGACAGATTCGAAAAACCAGTATCAAATTTCGTCTCGCCCGTCCGCCCGACAAACAACGCCAAATCTAAATGAACGATTTCGTTTAAACTTGGTATGACAGGCCTACAGTAAATATTGTTAGGGGCAACTTTCTGAATGAGTAGCGGAGCAAGTTTGAGCGAGATGTAGCGGCGGCCAATCCATGGGATTGCTTCAATGTCTCAGTGGCAGAGACATGCCCGTGTGGAGGCGGGGTAGAATACCTCCACCGTGACCCTGCGAGTTGTAGGAGGCGACGAAAGGGGAAATTCTCAAATCTGAGACAGTGAAATATGGCCGCGAGCCCCAAGGGACTCGGATAAGAGAAAAGATTGCGCTGGCAAGGACCAGCAGCATATGTAAAAGACAGACTCGTCTTCTCGTCAGAGAGGGCGCCCCACAAAAGGAAAACCGTAGCTGTCAAACAGTAATAAATATCTGGTCATGAGCCCCAAAGGACTTACTGACTGACTGACTGACCGTCAGTCGCAATGTGACTTAGACTTGGACTTGGTGGAGCAGTACAGCAAATAAAACGCTTGCAATGAGCCTGGGTAAGACTAGACAGTAGACCAATACTGTCACGAGGCGGCGACAGTTGAGAACTGATACGAAAGATCATTATATCTCGGCCAGATAATAATCACAAGTAAGATAGTTTCTTAAAGCGGTAACCTGCTTCATCTGTATATGGGAGATATCAGGTCGAATTCTGGAACGGAAAACTGGCGACCCATACAGATGTTTTCGTGGTTTTACTCACTAGC